TCACAGAGCGAAGCGAAGGAAAGCCAAAGAAATCCCGGTTACTTTTGACACTCGATTTGAATTGCTCACAACCAATAGGTATTCAAAGTCAGGAAAGCGCGTAAAAACGTGAATCACCAAGCCGCGATTGCTTTCAGTTTTGCACTTGATTTTTTGAGAGGCTGGCGCGATTTTTCTGCAAAACCAAAGCAATCCTGGATTAGTTTCAACACTCAATAAAAAACTGCCTTTTGATACTGTACCTCATTGCGTAACACAGCGCCATTTGTTACACCCACGGAATTTCTGGGTTTGATGTTTACATCCCTCGAGCGCAATGGCGTTTTCATTGCACCAAGTAAGAGAGGTCTTGATACATCAATTGACAACTGCGGAAACGGTTTTATGATGACAGTATCGCCCTTCTAAAGGACGAACGTCATTATCCCTTTTCATATTTGGAAATTTTTTTTTATGATATCTGATTATCATAATGATTATCATTTATCATGGTTATCATCACCACTATTACTTAAGTTATACTCTCGTTTATTAATTTCCTTTAAAACGTTATGAACAGTTGCTTTGGACTATTTAAGCATACTTACACGCCATTCTGTATCATTGCAATGGCACACTCCCTGTGAACCTTGTGAGAGCATGGTAGGATTTGACAACCGCTGAAAGCGTCCTGAAATAGCGTGCAAAATTTAACGTGTCAGTAACACTCGTACCCGGAAATTTTCAGCCGAGGCGTTAATTCGGGCTGTGTCTATGGTGCGTAAATTCCCGGCTAGGTGTTTGAAGCAATTTAAAAGTATGAAACATGATCTAAAATTACCTCCAAGCAGATGCAACACTCATCATGTCCTGAGTTCGGCCGACATTTATGTTTTCCCTCCAGTCGCTTGTCCAAGCAAACATTGCACACGTCGCAGTGAAATGATCTGTCCTTGTAAATACTGAAAAAACAGTTTGTTTAAAATAAATGATAGGGCCATTACGTCACTAACGTTATTCCGAGCCGGCAGATTGCTCCTTGCGAAGGTAAAACAGACCAGTGTGCAATGTATCGTTTCCTTGTTTCAATCTGAGGTACGTCTCTTTATGACCGTTTGGAAATTGTTCAAAATGTTGTTGCGCAATGCAATGCTTTACATTACTTCGCTCCCAGTAGCACTCGGAACATATTTTGTTGGCCAGGCAGAGTCGCCTCACTTTCGCCTACCGAAATCTGCTTTGCCTGGAGAAATATGAAATAGCACTTAAAGAAACGTTTAGAGGGCGTACGAGTTACCAGTAATTATAACGGCCTTTGTTGTATTCCCTTGAAACTATCTCCCTTAGGTTAAAATAAAACAATACATTCTAAATAGGATTTTGACTCCGTATAGAACTGGATGATTTCAATGTTTAGCATACGGGGTAATAAACGTGTCTATAAGTCGTAGTATATTCCAATCATAAAACAACCTACCGACAGATTTCACACTTCTCACAGTGGAAAGGGTTCTTGTCAACTCCTGTAAAATGCTTACACTTTGGGCAGAAATATTCTGACAATTTTACGCCACAGCGTCTGCAGGTTTGACTTCCTTCATTTACCTGACATAAATAAGAATATCATCAGTCAAAGGGTGTTACTTTAAAAAAGGTGATTTTTTTTAATTTCAGAATGTTGCAAAGAAGTTGTTTATCCCTCTATCAGTTAAACTAAACATAGCGTGCAGTAAATGCGTCATAAGCAATATCTGAAGCAATTTCTGTAGAGGCGCGACTTAAACAGCTGTCCATTGGAGCTAAGTTCTCTTGTTTCAACTAAGTGACGAAAATAAACCAGCATATAACATTGGTTTCCCGTTAGAGAACTGTCTGATCAATCTTAAAGACTCGCACCAACTTCTCACCCAATCAGATGCCAAACTAAAACCAGTGGGGACTTAAGCATAACTGTTCTCTCCCGCTTCATGCTAATTGCATGAAATTACTTTCTTCTTGATGGTTCGTCGTAATTTTTTCCTTTGATCTGATTGGTCTTCATGTTCACAAGGAATTTGGTTTTTACGTCGCTCAAGCCGAAGGCTTTGTATTTATCTTGGTTTTCTGATAAATCTGAGGTTACATGAAACTCTCTCCCATGGGATCGTAACGTCAGGTATTTAGGGATAAAATCTTGTTTTTATAACTGTGTTACTTTAAGCTTCTTCAGTAAAAGACTCCAAGTATGTAAAAGATACTAACCTCTTCTTCCCGTCCACAATTTCCGCACTTGACATGCGTCGCATGATGTGCCTTTCTATCATCAGCAGGGCACATCCCCGATAAGTTGTGACAGCGGTGGCACGGATAAAACACTCCGCAACATGGAAACTTGACACTACATCTCCTCTGGTAATGTTCACACTGCCATTGTGGAGTCTCCTGAAGTAGATGGCTCTCCGCTGCGGTTCTGTTTTCTCTTACTGTTGTTTCCCTTTCTCTTCGCTCTTCCAATTCTCTTTCCATTCTCTCTCTATTTTCTCTTTCTTCCCTTTCTCTCATTTCTCTCTCTTCTCTTTCTCTCATTTCTCTCTGTTCCCTCTCCCTCCTTTCTCTCTCCTCTTGTTCTCTCATTTCCCTTTCTTCTCTCTCTTTCCTTTCTCTCGCCTCTCTTTGCCTCCGTTCTCTTGTATCCCTATGTCTTTGTGTCGCCTCTCTCTGCTTTTTGGTTCGTTCTTCTCGCTCTTTAAGAACTCTATCGATTTCAGCCACTTGTTGTTCTAGAGAAACCAGTGAAGGGTCCCTGGGCGATACTGAAGCAAATGAACCTTCCTGTTGATAATTGAATAGGCCATGGTTCCTCGAGCTTCCTTCTCGTGTCTCTGAATGAACCATTTCTGATGCAGTCAAACCACCATTTTCTAAGCTATCTCCATAGGAGGGTCTGTAAGTGTTGAAGTCCCCTACACGTTCTTGTCCATGACTTCCTAATACATCATAATTGGAAGTAACTGGGGCTACATTTCCTGAAGTCGTGCTTGAAGAGAATTGCCAAGTGGTGGCAGGAAAATCTGGTGTGGTAACGACTGGATATCTCACAGCGGGCGCCAATGGTCCAACTCCTAGTGAAGGTGATGCCGTCTGAGTCTCATTTCCCACAGAAAAGTCTTCAAAACTTGAAAAGCTCGTCTGATGTTTTTTACTTGGCAGATTTTCATTCCAGTTAAACGAATCAACGCCTCGGCTGAAGCCACTGGCACCAGTGAACTGCCCCGTCATTGATGTCACAGGCTGGTAATTCACTGGCATCGGATCTCGGTACCGTGGACTCACCGCCTTGGAATATGCATTCTTTAGCATCAACCCGCTTCTATCCGGAGCCGATGAATGGGGAAGGCTCCAAAATTGGGAGGAGCTGCTATTTCTGGTTAGAGAGTGTTGAGTCCAATCGTTTGAATTCTTGTTGCTAACTGGCTTGTCATGACTTTCTGAAAACGAGCACTGTGGAAGATTCGGATCTGTTGAGTGCCGGGCGAGAAAGTTTCGATTAATACCAGTTGTCTCTAAGGATGGTATCTTCCCATTCTGGTAATGTGTGTCAAGTGCATTGAGCAGCTCTGGATTCTGTTGCACAGTCTTTGGTCTTGCTCCTTGACTTGTAGCTTTACCATCTCTTTCCGCTGAAAGCTCTGCATTGTTTCCTACTTCAGAGCTGTTAGTTTTTTTCAGGTCTTTATCTTTCTCCTTGTCACTTCTGGTGTTGAAATTTTTACAAGAACCTTCATTATTACTGCTGATACCATCGCCACTGGCTAGGCTTCCATCATTGTTTTCAGCACTAGAGTTGCCCGTGTCTTCATCAATGCTGTACTGTGAGTCAAATCGCATGTTGGCGTTTAATTCTTCCGTCAAAGACTCATTGGTTTCGGCTGACCCCACAAATGTTTCATCTTCTTTTGGATATAGAGTGGATTGAATTGTGCAACTTTTAGCAGAAACGCCATTGTTGCTGGCAAAGTTATCTTCATCATCGTAGTTATTGCTACTTTCATGATCATTAAGATAGTCAATTTCACAGTTTTCATCACAGTTCTCACCATTGTCATCGTCATTAACTCCGTCATCATCTTTGTTCTCATTGCTTTCTTCGCTATTTCTAATGAAATCATAATCATCATCAATATCATCGTCACCACCACGATCGTCATCGTCATTAGAACTGCTCGTGTAATTATTGGCTGCTTCATCTCCCTGTTTGTCTTCGTCTTCAGAGTTACTGTCTTGACTAACGATGTCTTGATGATATGCATACCCTTTAAGACGAGGATGGACTCTCATGCCGTCCTCCCCTCTACTACGATGATCCAAGGGTATTTTCGAGTATTTCGAGCTCAGTCGGGGGCTAGACTTGATCGGTTCTTCGGGAATATGTTCCATGGTGTTTTGCTGATCTGTGGCTGCTGAGATAAGTAAATTTTGTTAACTCAGTCCTTCGAACATAATATTCATCGCTAGGAATATAAACAAACAATTAAAGTAAAATAAATCAAATGACGAAACGTTCAATCAAAAGCAGGAGCGAGGCTGGGTATACTTTTGGTTCAATAGGAAGGTCGAGACAACAGGGGGAGGGGGGGTGTGGGGAGTGACAAAAGATGAACAAATGGTCAAGATCGAAAGGAAAAGTGACTGAAAAGACTCTTACCAAAGTTCTTTTCATGTCTCTCTTTCTGTAGTTCTCCAATAAGTCGGTAATTTACAACTGTTAGATTTCTTTTCGCAAAATCACGTTCATATAGAATGCGACCGTATTCTTCTTTTAGTAAATGACAGTAACTGTCTTCATTCAAGAATTTTTCCCCGTGCCATGCACATTCACCCGATGATGAATTTCCAACCTCGCTGTCCAGGGGAACAACTTCCGCTCCGTTGGTCGCCGTGTCTGGTTTTGTATGTACGGCTCTTCTCTTTGGCTTTCAGTATTTTAAAGGACGTCACTAAAATCAATGAAACAGAATTCCACTAAGAGAGCAGTCATTATCATTACCTGGGGGAGGAGTTGAGGAGTTTGGGGGATCACGTGGTTTCCAGGGGAAATAGATGGAGGGGATCGGTCTTTGCTAACAAATTATATAGGGGGGGGGACTAAAGAAAACCGACTGCCAATTAACTGCAAATGAGGAGGGATGTGATAAGATGTCATAAGAATATTACAGAGCCTTATGGGACGATCCGGTTAATATTATCGTGACACAACCAAAATTCTCTGCCCCCCCTTCCCTAGGTGATAATAATTACTTAAACGGTCCTATTATTAAATTTACTCTAATAGATCGGTTTGTAATCTCTTGTTTACTAACATTGGGAATAGGCTACCAACCTTGGTCGTACAAGTTTAACCTGTCATTTCTTTCTGTATTTCATTCTGAATTGTAAGAGAACTTTTTCTGCGGCCTTTGAAGCTTAATTTGAGCAATTGAAACACACAGAGCAATATAATCACACCTGACAACAACAGCAAAAACAACAACAACAACAATACGTTAAGGGCATTATTGGAAAACTTCACAACGACGAATAATCATACAACAATATTGACGATAGCGAAACTACAGGCCTGCGCAGTTTGCAGAACTTTATTTCTAGTTGAAAGATGTGAAAGAATATTTTTATCCATCCGCTCAAATTCTTTACGATTGCCACATTCGCAGTTGAGACAAAGTCCAAATTCCTCAATCAGAAGTTTAATTCGATTTAAATTTAAAATTTTGTCATGCTGATCAATGCACAATTATGACGTATTTAAATTAGCATATCAAATCTCGAGTTAAAGTAAAAATTAAGTTATCTGATATTGTAACATCGATCGATGAATCAATCATGAATTAAAGAGTGAAAAGATCCGCCATATATTTTATTGGTTCATTAATTTGAAGTGTCATTTCTTTTGAGGAGCACTGTCATAGTGAGTATATCTTGAAGGATCGGCCTAAATCTAAATCTGTTATTTATAGTAGTCTATGACAATCTTCTTCATCTATAACTGTACTTATTTCCTTTTTGTATCCTTTTTGCCTTTTTTGGTTCTCTCTTCCATTGCCAAATATTATTCGAACTTTTCCCTCAGATTTACGACTTCTTTTGACAAGTTAAAATTCCTGTGTGGCTCTCCCTAGAAGGCTGAGGTCGACGTTTCATTTCAGACACGCTCGAATAAATCATGTAATCTTCTGAGAATCAGTCTCAATAAACAAAATTATAGGAAACGATAGAACTTACTTTTGCTGAATAGAAAGACGCTTCCGCGAGAATTTTCTCCGTTTGATTACTGACTCACGCTCCTCTTTTCAGTTGTATCTAAAGAGCCATTGCGTCATTTTGATGTTTTTTTTTGGAAATTTCGTCATGCAATATTACTGTTGCGTGAGCTAGCGGCATATTTTGAGATTGGCACGTACGAGTGCTATAATCGAAGGCAGCTTTACTGCAAGACGGACTTACTGCAAGACGGACTTAGCATCGCCTCGTGTGAGAATCAAGCAATGACTATTTTACGACGGGAAATTTTAGCTAAGATTTCCGTATCAACGCATTAGACTTCATTATGCATATGGTTAGTTGATTTTAAAGAAAACAATGGTTAGAAGAATAGTTCACCTATAAAACTAAGACTGTTTAGAAGAGTACGACGTTGTGTGCAAATCTTTCTGTATTTTGTCGAATGACATTTAGGAAATTTTGTCAGTCGTAGACTCTGACGTCGCTTAAGTCTCTAAAGGAAGCCTGAGTGGTCATCGGAGAGAAAACAGTAATGTCGACAAAATCGCTTTCATGTTGAACTTCAGGGCAGTTTCGGAAGCGTCTTCGCTGAACTACCGACATAGAAAAAGTGCGGAAAATCATCGACGTGACTGCTACATCCTGCATAAGTGGTGGTTAAGTGATATTCGAAGGAAATGAAGGCAGCCAAGCGAAAGCGAGCGGTTGAGGTGCTCGATGAGAGTTTCCCCTATGTCGAATACCTCGCAGTAAATTATGTGACTTACAAACTAAGACCTGCTGATGCAACGTAAATAAACTTGGCGTAGGATGTTTCACCATGACAGCGCACGAGTGTCTCAAAAGAATTCTTTTATTAAAAAACGCTTCCTTGCAGATTTTTATCACCTTTTCATCGATATAAAACGTGTGTTACTTCGCTGAGTATAGATCGGTGCCGATCGCAGTCGATCGCAGTATCTTGTTACACAGATAAAGATGTTTTTCGACTTGTCACGAGCGCAGGACAAAGGAAATACTCTGAGTCCCCTTGAGGAATCGAACCTCAGACCTCCGTCTCTTTAACACTAAGCCAATGAGACTCTACAGTGAGCGAGGTCTATTACGAAGTTCCTATAACACGCGTCCTGCATACTGCTAGGATCAGCAATGTCGATAGCGTCATGTTAGTAAACAGATTAAGGAATAGGGAAAACTTTGAGCTCGGTGAAGATTAAGCAACAGAGTCTCTGTGCCTCTGTGGTAGAGCATCCGAGCTAGCACGGAGTCCAAAGATCTGTGGTTCGATTTCCCATGGGGACTCAGATGTTTTTTGTTACCTTTCCCACGTTTCCCTTTTTCATCACCAAGCTAAAAATTTACCATCTTTCTTATTCTGTTTACAAACTTGATACATGTACATGTTTAGAACGAGGTCATATGAAACGTAACGCTAACTAAAAGTTTAACTTGAATCTCGTTTACGTTTGCTCTATTCGTTAGATCCAACAGAGCAGGCAATAATTTTTTAACCTCAGTTAAGCCTCTGTAAACAAAACTCGTCCGTAGACTCGACAAATCGCAACCTGAAAAAGTCAGTAAAATGATAACACCGACAATTGTTCGTTTGACAGAGATATTCAGTTTCGAGCCAGCATTGAAATTGCTAAAAATTTCCGTCTACGTGACGACTGTCACGCACCAAAGCGTTTGGAACATCCTTGTCAGCACAATTTGTTTCCCTTTTGCTGTTAGTGCATGAAACGTGAAAAAACGATTTCAGTCCTCAAGACTGACTACTTCACACGAATGCATTTGATGGTCGTGATTTGATTTCCGTGATTTCTAACAATGTGAGACAAATCGAGAAATACTTGCATGATATGCACGAGGAATATTAAATATTATTATGTTCCTTTTTGAGTCAAACTGGACTGATAAAAACATACATATGAATATAAACATATTTTTTTCTGTAATGGTGAAGTAATTTAAACTTTAGGTAAAACTAAATCTAGGTATATGCAGAGCAATATGTGCGGAAGCAGTCATTACTTTTCTTACACTTCATTTCTCAAAGTTGTCGAAGAAACGTGATTCAGACCGCATGATTTGCGCGTAAGTGAATCAATTGGATCAAAACTTTGTCACTTAAAAGTCCCGTCGCTGGGTTTAGCGAGAAAAGAATTGAAACATTACGATCAGTATATAAATGTTACTTTAAATGTTAGTGAAAGTCGTTGAGTGTACACGTCTGTGGAAAAGTAATGGTGTGCTAATTTTTACGGTCAAACATTGGACCGAGCTTACAGTTGGGGAGTTTCTTCCTCGCTCTCGATCTGACACTTTCAAAGCGCCTTCAAGAGAAAGATATCACAGAAACTTGGTCTCCCACTGAACAGTGTTCACTCTCCGAGTGACGCGATCAAAGCATTCGTCAACATGTTTTTCTATGCATTGCGAATGATGTCAGCCGTTAAATCGCTTAGTTCCCATGTTCCTCTCTCTTCCTTTGTCCCCAAATCCTGCCGGCTAGATCTACTGGCCTGAGGAGCATTCACTGCACAAAGTAGTTTCCTATTTTCAGTTAAAAACTTTTATTTTTGAGAGTAAAACTCTTAAATGGCTGTCCGTGGGCTAAGAGTCATTCTCTCTTAACTTGAAGGTGAAAACCCTTAAACAAGTGGAGTGAAACGATATTACTAGGGTTTCTGGCCTTGACAAAGGCTTAGTGCTTCACTTAATTAAGGCTGTTAATTAACTTTTTCAAGCATTGTTCATCAAATTTAAGAGATCTAGAGACATTTGATAAAATGTCACTTACTCAAATTTAAGAAAAGAATTTCCTTGTCATTAGTAGGCTATAAACCTAAATTTAGGAAATAGCCTAGCCTAGATAGTGTCACACCCATACAATGATGTGACAATAAGCCTTTGTTAATGGATATATCCCCTAGTTAAAGGGGATACCCCCTTCTTCTAAAGACTATGCACTTTAGTCAGAGGAAGCCCTCTTGTTAAAAAAGGAATGTTTTGTTCACTGCTTGCTAACATTTTGAGAAGTTAAAATCCAAATGTTTGTGATGGTATAAAAGAGGTGAATGCTTCAAAAATCTATTAACCTACAAGGAAAAATCGAAGCAAAATAAAAATTGCACACCATAGAATGAAAAACAACAATTTTACTTTTGACTAGAATGACAACAAGACTACACAGCAACAGTTTTTAAAATTTTAAAAATTCCACAACTGTCATTTCAACTTTTTGTTGGAACCAACCTCAGCAATCATAATATAAAATTGTACATCTATCATTATGAACATCAAAGGCTCTTGATTAAGCCTTACAACTATATCAAGATCAACAATAATTAGAACAGCATCACTTAGGGCTAGTTTACACCTGGTCCAGCAACACAGATTGAATCTGGAGAATAGAGTTCAAACTTAACTTAACATCCAGAATCACCTCAACATACTATAATATTATTATGTTAGCTCTAAGGCAATAAAAAATTTGGATGATTCCAATTACTACCACTAAACTTGGGCCTCTGATTGTGTCTGTGCTGTAAACTAGCTCTACTATAACACAGCTATATATTTGTATGTATATAATATATTTTAAACTACTTGTGAGTATCTCAAACAATATCAAGTTGATATGAACATTGAAGTGTGGACGTCTTGTATTCTGTAGCATACACCTTTATTGATATCTGACGGGCTATACCAGCAACTAAACTACTCTCTATATGTAGTTACAAGCTCGGCTTTTATAGGTATGCTTGAGGATCTAGAACGTTCCGTAACATTACAACAGATTCTATTTATATTTTGATTCATGGATGACGCAGCATGACTCATCTACTTCTAGAACATTTTTGAAGGTCACACTACAAACATAAAGCTGTAAAAGGAACTTTGAACATAAAGTTGCTTTCAAAGCGAGTCTAAAAATCAAAGTTATGGTGTGACACTGGTGCATTCTCTCAATGTAGGTGAATGCAATAGTCTATCTTTATCAATAGGGACTTCTCTGATACTACTCTACTCAAAGTGAGTTGGCAAAAACCAAATATGATCGAATTGACTCGTGGTAGCTATTTATGACCCGTGGTGCACAAAGGAGCTTATGATCTCCTAAAACAAACTGTTGTAGATAAAAATAAATGTTTCTGAATCTTTGTGGGTATTCAAAGTGGTAAATGTATTACAGGGTAAGAAGTTGAATAGGCCATTATACAGTTGTGTACTTAGTTGCCAAGCCATTGATTTGGAGTGAGGCTGAAGGTGACCTTGTTGTGATAGAGACCAGTATCTAGTTTGCATGATAACAAAGTAATTTGCATTTGAAAAGCAACAAGGTTTGTATCATAACAAGGTCACCCTTAACCTCATTCCTGTACAAAGGCTTAGCAACCAAGCACACAGCTGTAAAATGGACTATTAAACAGTGGCCTCATATATGCATTGTCACTTTTGGGAACTTGACAGTATAATTGTTCTCCAATCATAAGACTGTATGGGCTGTTTGGATTATCATCTCCACAGTCTTTATCACCATGGACTAGAATGTTGGTTCTTTTGCTGCAAACAAATATGTTGGACTTTCCTTGAAGTAAAATGCAAAGAAGGACATGATTCACAAGGAGACATTTCTAATTATTGTTCTTTAAAGTACAACCAGCTAAACTTCGTACACTCAGTTCTCATAAAGAAACATACTAGGAATACAATTTTACCTTGCTTTTTACAGACTGTTGGAAATACTCTACTGAAGTTATTCAGCATATCAGTATCAATAAAGTGCAAAAATTAATAACAAATTTTGTTAGATGCAACAAATATTATTACAAAAAGGAAGCTGACACTGCTGCCATGTTGCATAAATCAACATTGCCACACTGCGGGCAATAATT